TCGACCTCGTTGCCCTTGGTTCCCGCGAAGTCGAGCGACCCTGACATCTTCGCGGGGGGCGGGACAGGGAGCGGAAGCCCGGGCTACCACTACGGTTCCTGGACCTCGGGCCCGGCTACGCCTGTCCCCGTCGCCTCGCACAACTACAACCCGAATTACCAGGGCTACTACAACAATCCAAGCCAGAACTACATCAGCCCTGCCCCCATGGTCCTCTACCCCCAGTTGTACAGCACGGTGAACCAGAACCAGATCCACCTGCACCTGCACGGGGACCTGAGCGAGGAGCAGGTGACCATTGCCGGCAGCAATCTGACCATAAGCAGCAACAGGCTGGAGATCGGCGTGATGGGCGAGGAGAACGAGCAGAGGAACGACGTTTGGAGACCTTACTGAGCTGACCTCGCTTCCACCGTGGCGTGGAAACACCGCCGCTTTCTCACTTTGCCAGTGCGACTTTTGGACCAAGGGCGGATCGCATTGGACCGCGTTGTAAATGTGATATCGAGGAAGAAACTTGGTTTTACGAAACTTCGTTTCGGATGGATTGTAGTGGAAACGGTCTTCTTCTTCTTCTTCTTCTTCTTCTTCTTTTTCTTCTTCTTGCGTACGCGAGTGTTACGATTGGGAATTCTGGTGGAGAGGACGGCTCTTGCACCGATTCGGGAAAAGTGAACGATTTCAGTGATGGATCCGGCGCGTATCCACGGTGTATCCTCCGAGTGGGAAGATAGTCATGTAACGTTGTAAATACAGATATTTTCCATGAAATAAAATCTTGCTTGAACAGGTTCCTCAATCCCCCTCTTCCCCTTTGGTTCATCGGATATCACGATAAAGGTTGCTTCGTTCTTGCTTCTGCGTTGTTTAATGTTTCCCGATATTTCGTTCGTTAGCGAAAAATCGGACGAAAAGGGGTTTGAAACGAGACTTTTTCGTTGATTCGAGGTGGAATCTTATCCGAAGGGAAGGGAAAAACGAGGCAGCGGTGGTTGTCTCTTTTTCTCCCGCGGGGAGAACACGGAGGGAGGGCACGGATAATCCTTTTTTACGGTTGCCGCGAGCTCTATTTAATATTTAAAGCGATGCTGGAAATGACGAACGAATGGATAGTTGCGGTCTACATCGACCCGCGTTTTCGCCCTTCTCTCTCTCTCTCTCTCTCTCTCTCTCTCCCTTTATTTTCGATCCAGCTTCGTCCTCTTTGTCGCCCATGTTTTTGCTATCCTCCCCCTATGAAACAAAGCGAAAATCTTTGTACCTCGAATCGTTGTTTTTCCCTCCCTCTTGCGCAAGCAAGTCCTGTTATCAAGATTTTTAGAAACCATCGCGCGACGGATCGAGAATAATTATTCGTTCGAGGAAGTGTTCGAATACGGAAGAATTAGAATTATATACGATCGGATTTGAAAGCAATCTTCCTCTCGTAATTATCTTCGAAATCATCGGTCTCATCGGTTTAAACGAACAGAGTTTGCAGCAAGCGCACTTTTTCTTTTTTCTTTCTCTCTTCTTTTTTGCCGCAGAGGATACAGGAGTAAAAAGAGAGAGAGAGAGAAGAGAATCCACGAAAGGAACACACGAACGCAGTTCTTCCTGCGTTCGTCATCCTCTGTCAGAGGCTGCACGCTTTCCAGCGACTTGTCTCCGCTTCCTCCTCGCTGATGTTTACTGCCTGTTGGAATGGGACGGGAATAAAAGCATGGAATAAGCCGAGGCGACCGTCGCTCGTAAGCTTCCCTCTTTACGAGGATGACTCGACCGCAGACAAGACTCTCCCGCCCTTTCCAAAGCCCGTTAAAACGTAAGAACTGAAATGCACTTGGTCCCGTGCAACAAATCGTCCACACGTTTGATACCTCTCCGAGTTGATCGAGGGACGGACTCGAAGCGGCCGACGACGTCCTCCCTCCATTTTTTCTTCGAAACCCTTTTTTTCGTTCGAGAATTGGTCGAGTGAATTGGAAAGGGATAAAAAATATTTCGATTCATATTTCGATGGTTTACGAGGAGGAGAGGTGAGGAGAAATTCGAGGATGCGGGAATATTTTGAATATTTTGAATTTTAAGAGAAAGGTTCTCTCCATAAAAACGTACGTTTCGATTGTAATACAATTTTATTAACTCGAAATAATCGAACGTTTCACGCTCATACATCTCTTACTTGTCTATCGTGCTCGAGTTTACGCTGATTTCGATTAAAAATACCTTATTATTACCATATATCGTTACTGTCCATACATTTCCGTTTACAGATTTATATTTTCGGTTGAATGGATGAATTTTTTTTTTTTTTAACTTTTATTATTTTTTTTGTCGTGTGTTGCTTCAAGAAAAGAATAAAAGAAAAGAGAACAAAGAAGAACGAAAGAAGACAGAAGAAGGGTCTACATAGGCACGTTTTATTATCGATTAGTAACTCTCCGCACTTTTTTTTTTCTTTCTTTCTTTCTTTCTTTCTTTTTTTTTTTTTTTTTCTTTTTTTCTTTCTTTCTTTCTTTCTTTCTTTTTTTTTTTTTTTCGTTTAAACGATCCGATTCGCTCAACGATTACTTACAACACCGATCGAATCTTAGGACGAAATTTGAAAATTGGACCGATTTTATACAAACAGTCGATAATCGTTATTCCCCTTTC